CAGAGGCCAGTACCCGGGAAGCCGGGGAGGCTGGGCAGGCGGCCGGAGACCCCAGCTGGGGCATGCGAGGCCTTCCTGTCGCTCGCTCATCGGACCAGGGAACCGGGCATCCAGGCCACCACCCGCCCGCAGGGAGCAGGGACCTGGAATCTTCCACCAGCGCAGCGGCTGTAGCTAGGGTTCAGCCGAGGTCCCTGGACACATGAGTTCCATCTTCCTGGCCAAGCAGCAATCTGCAGTGCGCTTGCCCCTGGCGGGAGCACGGCCCGGCCCTGACGGCAGGGCGCCTGCCGCGGCGGAGTCTCAGGTCCCCAGAAGAACCGGTGTTTCCTACGCAGACGATGGACGGAAACAAAGCCCAGCCGTTGGTGTGGGCCGGGGCCTGTCGGGAAGTAACCCGCGCACATTTCGTGTTTCAGGTGTTCGGAACGAGCAGAGAGTCTGACATCATCCGACAGGAAGGCTGACGGGAGGAGCCAGATGGCTCTCCCCACGGGGCTCCTCCGGCCTCTGGTTCGCCGGGATCTAGGTTTTCACCACAAAACGTCTCCCCCAGGATTCTGCACATTCGATTCGGGAAGAAGGATTCGAGGCCAGGAAGTCACGGCAGGAGGACGTGCACCAAGCTCCTTCTGCATTCCGAGGAGCACTCATTAGTGCGTGATCTAGTCACAGAGCTGATTCAGGTTACTTACTATCTGCGCGCGAAGCGTGCTTGGAGCAGACATCACGGGGGTGTTGTTCCTCTTATCAGGGAAGTCGGAGAAGGGACATGCCTAGGATTGGCACACAAACTCAGCCAGGGGGCTCCAGGCTGGCATTTCCGAAGCTCTTTGGTGCTTCCCCTCCTGGCTGCAGTGCGGCTACAGCAGCCCCAGACAGCACATGGTCTCTGGATAATAATATTCACATCAGGAAGGAGGCAAAAAAGACAATGTTCTCCCCCTTCGTCAGGGCCAAGTCTCACCACACTGTTTGTGCAATGTAAGAGCTCGTGAGCCACGCCGGCTTCCACTTCTCATCGTTAGTTTATGTCCTGGGGCTCGGTCCCTGCGGCCAGAACAAACTCTGGTTCTACTGGGAAGAATGAAGGAGAAAGGGCTGTTGAACAGGCAGCCCCTGTGCACGCCGCCCGGGGAATGGGGTGGTGAGGCCTGGCTCATTTCCATGGGAACGAGGAGCTTCGTCTGCATCCTCGCCGGCAGGCCCTCCGGAGAGGGAGCAGCCCTGTCCCAGCGCAGGGCGAGGCCATAGCACTGACTCCCCCCTAAGACCCTTCTGGTTTGTTTGCCCAGTGAGCCACCCTCCTCCATGTGCCCAAACAGCCACCGACGGGGACGTGGGAAGTCTCCCCCACACTCAGCCGGTTCCAGGCCGTCAGTGAGGTCCTGGCCACGGGGGCGACAGGAGGAGAGGAACTGGGTCCGTCCTCCCAGACACTGACTGGAACCCAGGGAGTCCGCTGTGATATGCATTTGGTTCCCAAAGACAGCGTTTCGGAAGGCGTGGCCTCCCTCGCTGCCCTTCCCAGCCCGCCGTGTTCTCGCGGGTTTGTGGCCCATCCACGATTTGTGGCAGCAACACGTGACCCAAACCTCATGTCCAAGCCTCCTGAATCCTCGACGCTGGGCCACCAAGGGGCAGCGGCATTTTTAGTGAAACAGAATGACACCAGGGAGACGGCATTGCCAGGCGGCTGCGGGGCCTGGGCAGATGCCAGGCACGCGGAGGGGAGGGGGGCAAAGGGAGGCAGGCCGTGGGAACGTGGGACCAGGCGAGGGTGCGGGGCAGACCAATCCCCAGCCTGTGCTCTTTGCGGCTCAGTGAGAAGTGACAGAAGTAATGGAATGAGCTTGGAACAGACTCTGCTTTCTCCTGAGTCACCAGGACGGAGGATGGAAAATTCCCACCCCCCTCTCCCTGTGCCCAAATGGGAACACAGGCTCCTTGGAGGCACAGCCGGGGTCCGCGACCAGCTGGCAGGACACCTGGGCCAGCTTGTGTGGTGCTCGGTCCCTCGGGGCTCCTGATGCTCCCTGCCCAGCACGGCCTGCTCTTGGCAGCCTCCGAGAGCAGAAGCCAGTGAGCCTTTGAGGCCGGCGGGGGGTCCGCTGGGGGCTGCTGTGCAATCCGGACAGCGGGGCGGCTCCTCCCGAGTGAGCCTGCTGCACCGTGACACCCAGCAGAGTCTGTTACCACCAGATAAACTGCGAACATCTGCCCCAGGCCCCACCACCCTCCCTCACTCCGGAACCTTCTGTTTGTCCCTATTACGGCAGTGCAATGCTCTGGCGGGGCACTTCTGCCTCCCTCCCTCAGGCCTCACTTTGGGGTCTCCCCTCCATGTCACAGAGCTGCGCACCTCGGACCCAGAACCCGCCCTCTGCTCAGCAGCAGCTTGTCCACCCCTAGCCCCCAGCAGAGGGCGAAACCCAACTCCAGTGACTAACAAATGGTAAACGGTGCTCAGAGATTTCGGGGAGTGATGAAGAAACAAGGAAGGTGTAAGTCCTAGCACACACGGGGGAAATCTTAGCTGTTGTTAAATAACATCTAAATATAAAAGCCTAAGCGACCGTCACGACCGAAACAACCAGATGACCGAACATGCTGCGTTGGGTGACCAGGCCAGCAGGGGGGGCAGTTGGGGGTGACCAGGTTGGTGGGGAGGGGGTGGGGAGTTGGGGTGCCAGCCAACAGGGGGGCAGTTAGGGGCGATCAGGCAGGCAGGCAGGCAGGTGAGCACTTAGGAGCCAGTGGTCCTGGATTGTGAGGGGGATGTCTGACTGCCGGTTTAGGCCCGATTCTGGGGATCAGGCCTAAACTGGCAGTCAGACATCCCCCAAGGGGCCCTGGCCTGGAGAGGGTGCAGGCTGGGCTAAGGGGATGAATTTCGTGCGCTGGGCCTCTAGTAGTAATATAAAGACATGATTGAGAAACCAAGAAAACACAAAACATTCAGTCTGTCCTCTGAACATCTTTGCCTGGCAGCTCCTGATCCCTGGAAAGGTAAGAGTCCACCTTTCTGGGGTTCGGCATCGCTGAACTTTGTCACAAGCACGATCCCTGGCTGCCTTATTCCGGACATTTCAGGAGGAAGGAAGCCACTCTGCGTTATCTTAATCTGCTCAGGCTGCTGCAGCAACACCCTGGGCTGCACGGCTCAGACACGTGTGTCACTCACCGTCCCGGAGCCTGGGAAATCCAAGATGAAGGCGCCGGCACGTTTGGTGTCAGCCGAGGGCCCGCGTCCTGGTTCTCGGCGGCAGCCTCTGCTGTGCCCTCACGGCAGGAAGGGTGAGGGGGCCTCGGGGGTCCCTTTTAGAAGCACACTAACCCCACGGGGAGGGCCCCACCTCCAAATGCCACCCCGAGGGCAGGTTTCGATGTCTGACTTCCAGGACGGGGGCATTTAGTGCACAGGGCTGCAAAGACCAGCTGGGTTTGCAGCCAGCGGAGCTGGGTGGGGGTCTGGGCCCTGCTCCTCAGCTGCTGTGCCATCTTAGGCAAATCACTCAACTTCTCTGAGCTTCAGTTTCCTTGCGTGTCAAATTGGGATCATCCCAAATGGATCCAGGGCTGGCACAGAGTCAAGCCCGGGAGGCCGTGAGCTCTGACACAGTGTGTAATGTTGGTGCTTTTTGACAAGGAGTGCTTTGCTCCCAGGACGGTAAATGACTTCGCCTCACATTCTAGAAGCGTCCGCCTGCCTCTTATGTGTGAGCCGCTGTGGACACAGACAGGAGGACGTGTGAACGCTGACCCCAGGAGCTCACACTGTACATCCCACTGAAATCTACGAGGAAGAAAAGCCAGCCCCTCCTCCACTCCCTCCAAAAAACGAGCACAAGGAAAGCCTGCTGGTGAACACGATGCACCAGACTGTGGGGGACAAGCGCCTGCTTCCCAGTCAGGTGGGGTCTGACAGCCACGTCACCCCTGTGCCGCCTCGAGTCTAACCCCTCCCCCCCCCCAAGACACACACACATACACATACACACACACACACACACACACACACACACACTTTCCCAGGCTCTGCTCACTGTTTTCCACACGATGAGGTCCAGGCCCCACAGCAGAGCGTGAGCAGACCCATCCCCACGCCCAGCAGCCCTCACCAAGCACACAGCTGGCCTGTGAGCAGAGCTGCGGTTTCCAGGGTCAGTGTCAGCCGAGGCCTAGGAACCCGGCGGAGCCCAGCACAGTCTCTCCAGCCGGTAGACTTCCGGCTGGGCCTCCAAGCCAAATGCTTGGACGTCAACAGACAGCTTTCGGAGACACGGACCAGCAGGTTCCTATTCCCCACGGCCCGGAAGCAGAGGCGCCTAACAGATGGGAGCTGGGATGAGGGGCTTGTTTACAAGAAACATAGCAAGTTGGTATGCAACCTGAGCTGACCGAGAAGGTCAACCCTCAGAGAGGAGGAGGGGTAAGAGGTGGTCACACAGGCCGCCTCCCGGGAGGCAGGGCGTGTCTGCCAGGAGGAGCACACCCAGGCCGAGGCGTGGACAGCAGCAGCCAGCCACACTGCTCTCCTGGATTTCCTGCCCCGGGGGAGTGTGAGTGAAAGTGGGAAGTTCCACTGTAGCCTGGGCTCCCTGAACCCCCCAGGCAAGTCCCTCCAGGCTGGCCCCCTGCAGGTGGGATGGAAATGGGCTCAGGGTGCTCCAGTAAGCACACAGGCAGGGGCTCCGTGACTGCCCCAGGGCCGCCCCACCCGCCCATTCCCCTGCCCATGACTCCAGCAATAAAGTTCTTTTGTGTATGAGCCATCGAATATTTTTGGGTCTATTTATTACAGAAGTAGCATTACCCTAATACAATCATTGCTAAGTGGCCATAGTACATTTATGCTATAATTGCACATCATTTGAATCACCGCAGGAATGTCCTTTTCTCTTGATTCTAAGTTTCCAGAAGTGAAAGGTAAGAAGTTAAGAGTTGCTGCAAGGCCAAGGATAAAAACATTGCGAGGTAGTCGGTAGTGTGGCTGTCAAATGCCAGGTTTCCCACCTACAAACAAGCAGGGTGCGCGATGCCCCATCTGTACAGCGAGCGGAGAGCCAGGCAGGCCCGCCCCTCGGCCGGAGCCGGCATCCAGCCTGCGCCTGCTTCTGTACAGCCCTCGAGCTCGGGATGCTTTGTACGTTTTCAAAAACAGAGACGAGTATGTGACTGAGACCCTAAGGCAGGCCAAACAGTCACCCCAGCCCTGCCTTACAGGCTGTGTGGGCCACACAGCGCAGGCCGGGGCCTGGCTCAAAGGAAGCAAGCAGTACGAAGTGATGCATGCAACAGAGCTATTAGCGTTTGAAAAACAAACTGCCTCCTGACGGCTTCATTTCCTCTAGTGAACAGTCTCCCCTCCCTTCCCAGAAACAACAAAACATCTTGGCTATTATGGACACAAGATCTCTCAAATGGAAAGTTGCTGGCAGTTCAAGTTCATGACTAAGAGAAAGGGACCTGCTGGCAGCAGAACGTGGAGGCGCTAACCGTCGGGGAAGACCGCGGCATTTGACGTTGTGAGTTGGACAGTGAGTAGGTATGGTCAGAGAGTAAACTGACTCAGCGACAGGCCCGAGCGCCGGCTGTCGCAAGGGAACACTTTGCTGGGTAAACAAACGCGCTTGCGATGGAGATCTACGACAGGGAGCAGGCAGAGACAACAAAAGCCGGCCTTTCAGAACCGATTGGGTGGGCGATGCTTTCTTTCAGACACGACGCTTGGCAGAACAGGTCTCACAACGACAAGGCAGAGACTAGTCGGGCGTGCCTCGTGTCTCCCCGAGCAGCGTTTCCCACGGGAGGTCTGTGCACCCGGACCCAGGAGGCAGGCGCAGGGCACAGTGCTGAAGCGCGCGGGCACCACGGCTTTGAGAAACCTTGGACAGGGACCGGGTGACCGCTCAGCCTGTTTCCTCCCGCACAGTGCGGTGACATCGCGGAGCACCGGACGCCGCAGGACGTTCTGACGGGCAGCACGTCGCACAGCTTTGGGTCCACGTTAGTGACACACCGAGAAGCTGGGTTTCCCTCAAAGCTTTTCAAGTTCTCGTTTTACAAACACACACTTTAACGGGACTTTTCGGAAAGCTGCAGTCTCTCTGTTATAACCAGATACTCACAAAATTCCTTGTGAGCTCAGAAAACTCAGATTTGGCAGGAAAATCAGAGTCTAAAGATACCCTGTCCACTCACCAACATTAAAAGTTTCAGCAGAGCAAGTTTTTGCCTATTTTGATCAGAAGAGACGGGAGACATTCTGAGAAAGGGCAGGCGGGGCTCTGTCCTGGGACGAACTTGGCCAGGCCATGCGTGTGGTGTCCCTGGAGGAGTTCCATTTATTAATTAGTGTACAAAAAAAAAAAAAAAAAAAAAAATCTTGGCTTTCATTGGAAGAGAAAAGAAGTTACTATATCCAAATATTTAATATTTTAACATTGCAAAAGTTCTACTTTTAAAACAGGGTTGTTGTTTTTTTAAATGGAGAAAACTTTGGAAAAGTTTTAAAAAGAAACTTACGATTTATTAGAGTACAGGTTCCAAAAACACATTTTTAGAAAAATATAAAGTGCCCAAATACCAGCTTACACAGGTGACAGGCCTCCTGGAGCCGGTGCGGCATCCGTGAAGAGACCTTTAAAAACAGTCTAGATACATATGTACACGGGTCACTGAAGGGAAAACCATCGTATCTTTCTCGGCGTCAACGTTACTCTACGAGAAAAGGAAATCAAACCGGAAAACCGACCATGGTAATCCTCAGCATGCGCCACGGTTTCCTGGTAATGCACCGCGTTAACATTTACCCCACACTTCCTAGTTTCCATCTTTAAATGCGAGCAGTGTGAAAGCCCCGGCCTCAGACAATGGGGTGCTGTGAGTGGTCACAATTTCAAATGCAAGTCTGAACCTTGACTTGCAGCATTCCCAAACCTCAGGCATCTCAGGGGTCAGTAGGGACCAAGGGGAGGCAGTCACCCAACATGGTATGCAATCCTGCACTCAAGTGAGCACAGAGCGAGAGTGACAGGATCCCTGTCCCCTAGAGCCTCAGGCATTAGATCAACTGGATTCTCCTAAACTCTGAGAGTGACATCATGAGGCCCTAACAGCGAACTCCAGCCTCGAACTATCGATATAAGACCAGTTGGCAGGAGACCTAGCGGCCGTGGTGGGAGTTGGAGCTGCACAGCGTGGACCTGTCAGCGCTCGGTCACTAAGAACGAGGGAGGGGCCGGTGCGGGCTGAGAGCGGTCTGGCCACGGCGACTGGACCATTTCTTTCCCCGTGGAGCGGACGCTCTGAGGGGAAAGACGTGTAGGTTTGCTCTACCCCGCCGCACTCAGGAAGGTCTCCAAGTGGTTCTCAGGAAGGACGGGGCTGGGACCTCCTCTTTCATTTTTGACCGTCATCTTGCTTCTGGTCACAGAAGTGGAATCTCACTTTTACGTCTTTGGAGACCTCGAAGTATAATTTCTAAAAGCAAGCATTTTAACATCAGGTTGTACTTCCTATTGTGAAGAGAAGCCATCACTGATTTAAGATCTACTCATGCTACTGGAGAATATTAACATAAAAAGTTACTTTAAAGGGAGAAACAGTAGGTGAGCATGGAAAAATCATCACCAAGGCCATCATTATGCGTTTCCCAAAGAATCCCATGTAACAAAGTGGAAAACTAATGATTCACAGCGATAGGAGCGTAAGTGCAAGAGGGAAAACTGTGTTATTCTTCTAACTAAAATACAAAGACAAGTGCCTGAAATCGGTCTCACACATCAGGAAAAAAAAAAACCGCAAACGACTCCGATCAGCACTGCTCTGCTCATCACCAAGATGCTGCCAAGCTCACTTAGCTTCACCTCTGAACAAGCAGCTGAATTCAGGTTGAAAGGCCCAACGACCCTGACTCAGGACTGCAGCTGGGCCAGGGAAGTCAGGGAGAAATGGCTGCAAACTTCTGAGCCCGTCGCCAGCAAACGAAATGTCTGAGTAAGTGCGAGACAGACTAAAGAGAAGGGAGCTAAGTAACGATTAGATGGGTGTTGACTGTGAGCCCTCATGAAGACAGAATGTCACAGACTGTCACCAGACAAGCAGACAAGCCATGCCACCGAACGGCGCCTTCCCGAGGATTCACTAGTGGAGGCGGAGAGCGACATTGTCTTTGCAGCTGAGGAGAGGGCGGGCCACTAAACTGTGGGAGGCAACCAGCACTTGGGCCAATGGCTTCCTGGTGGTCGCGTCCAAAGGGCTGGGGACCCCGGAGTCCTGTTCTCCTGGAAGGCGGCAGCAGCAGCAAAGGCACAGCGCCCCCTACTGGCCTCTACTCCGCGCTCTCCTTCTTGGCGCTGTAAATGTTCTGCACCGTCTCGTAGACAGACTCCAGGTCCTCCGGGTACCGGAGCTCTAGCTCCGCGTTCGGGATGTAGTGGGTGCCAGTAAACTCTGAGAAATAGCGTCCGACATCGGGGTGCGAGATTTCTTGAGGCTCCACGTTATATTCCAGGTTTTCTGTTGATAAAGAGGCACATTCCGGTTAAAATGGACTTTTCTGCGGCATCTCTTATCCTGAGTACTTCCTAGCAACCGTTTCCAAGTAGCATTTTGAGGTGGAGGAAAAGGCAAGACAGAGGTGTTTCTGGAAAATGCAGGAGCTAATAGGCAAAAGGCGGCAAGTGGCCATCGGGGAAGGAGGAATGGTGGCCTGGGGCCCCCAACAGTTCCACACGGAAGACAGGACTCCCTGTTCTCCGAGCAAGGCGTCTGGCTCTAGCAGAGCTCCGGCAGCCCCTGGGACAGGCAAGCCAGAGACTCCCACGTTCCTCTGACTCGATCTGACACAAACGTGAGGACAAGGGAACCCTCGCCGGCTCCGTTCGCTAGCGGGTAAGTCTGGAAGCCCCACGTCATCCGGTGCCACTCGTACCTGCTTCCTTCCTGTCTATAGTGTGAGCCCTCCACAGGGCAGCCTCCGTCCCAGCTCCGTCCTCAACGCCGCCGGGCGCCCCCAAGGTGAGCACCGCGCAGGGGGCAGGAGACCCCGAGGGAGGGATGCACGCCGCACCTTCCACACAGACGGATGGTCATAGCATCTGCATGCCTCCTAGAAATCCACGCTCTCCACACCCTGCTCTGTTTCCCCACCAGACTCCTTTACAATGGAGTGATAATAGAACGATGATAATGCAGGCGAGGTTGTTTTTTTTTGGTTTTGTTTTTAATATATATATTTTTAAAATATATTTTTATTGACTTCAGAGGAAGGGAGAGGGAGAAGGAGATAAAAACATCAATGATGAGAATCACTGATCAACTGCCTCCCACAGGCCCCACACAGGGTTTGAGCCCACAACCCAGGCATGTGCCCTCACTGGGAACTGAACCGTGACCTTCTGGTTCATAGGTCGATGTTCAACCATTGCAACATGCCGGCCAGGCCAGGTGAGGTATTTAAAGGCTGAAATCCTTTTAGGTGGTTTCTCCCCCAAAAAAACTACTTGAAAAACAGCTCTACAGGGGCCCACTGAAATAGGGGTGGCTGTGTAGCCTTCCTTGCTGGCCCAAGCCTGGGCATGGGCCCCCACCTGGGAGAAGCCAAGCCTCATCCCCCCAGGACCCGGGAGAAAGGAGCTGGCCAGGCCGACCTTCCGCTCTGTGTTCTGGGGCAGCAGGTGCCCTGCATGAAGCCACACTCCGCACGGCCTGTCACTGGAATTAATGCCAGTCGGTCTCTGCACAGCCTGGCCAATGGGCTAACTTCCTCCCTCAGCGCAGCACATCAGCCGAGTGTCCTGAAATGCACGCGGGACACCTGGCCCCCACCCAGAGCGCACAGGACCAACACCGCTTCTCTCAGCATCTGACAGCATCCAGGCCGGTCACCGAGTGAGTGACGGCACGTTGATCCAGCACGATGCTGCAGGAAAATGAGCAATGTGTTGTCGAGATCCGATGGAGCAACTGGGAGTAAAACACGTGCTTCTCAGAAAGCCTGGAGGCCACAGAGCTAGGCTGCCACCTCACACGGCCTAACTGAGCATTTTATTTTAAATACATTTTCATTGACCTCAGAGAGGAAGAAGAGGGAGAGAGATGATACACCCTGTCAGAGGGGGGACATTTGAGATTTTCACAATTTAAAACAGAGCACCAAACTGTCCTGGAATGTTACCCTGCGTCCTGGGGTCTTCACACGGGGCCAGCGTGTGCAGACTGCCCCTGGGTGGGGGGTGGGCGCTGTAGAAACTTTACTTTGGAAAGGCAGGACAGCTCAGGGAGACGGAACTAACACTCGTAGCGGTGCTCTCTCAACCAGAGGTCACGTCCCACTTGAATTCCTGACCCTCCATTCGGGCAGCTGACTGAAGTTCCGAGCATCTGGTCTGGACATTCGTTTCCCAGTGTCTGAGCAGTCGTGGTGGGGGCTGGGACTGAGACAGGTAGCATGCCCCTCGTGGGGAACATGCTAAACATGCTAGGTGTGGTATGCCCCTCCTTTAGGAGTGAGGTTCACACTAGCACACTGGTGGGAAGATTTCCTGGACTGTGCAGAACAAAACCACGTGAAGACATTATACCTGCACGCAGCCTATAATTGACCCTTCAACTCTGCGGAGAACTAGTCATTAGAGGAGCACTCGTTCATGGACTTTACCCAGGTTACTAGGATCGTGAGAAAAGGTTTGAAAATTTAGACCCCCCCCCAAAAAAAATTGTAAAACAAAATGACTTAATATAAACCCAGCAGTGTTGCTCAGTGGTTAAGCATCAACCTATGAACCAGGGGTCATGGGTTGGATTCCCAGTCAGGGCCCATGGCTGGGTTGTGGGCTCCATCCCCAGTAGGGGTGTGCAGGAAGCAGCCTATCATTGATTCTTTCTCCTCATTAATGTTTCTATCTCTCTCTTTCCTCTCTGAAATCAATAAAAATATATTTTAAAAAGAAACTTAATGCAAATAAAAGAAATGCTAAGAACATAGTTAAATAAGTATTTTTAAAATTTAGCCTCTCAAGGCCTCCTACTGGCTAAATATGGTATAATTTGAGGGAAAAAAAATGTTCCAAATGATTAGAAAACATGGACTAGATAAAAGTCTAGGAATCTATGAGAGGAGAGAAATGCTGAAAGTGGAGGTAGGGGAAGGGAGGGAGGGAAGGGAAGGAAGAGGTAGAAGGTGAGGGAGGAAAGCCCTTGTTTACAGGAGTGGAGGGAACAGCAGCAGCAGATCATCATTCTGTGATTCTCACAGGCTAACTCGGACAACGAGAGGCAATAGGCACCGACATAACAAGGACAAAGTCACTGCGGAAGATGACACAGGATGTCACACTAGGACTCTATGGGGTTTGTGTTAATTGCAAAAGGAAAACTGTCCCTTAGAGTGAGTCACTATCTTAGCCAAGTGACCAAAATCCGCTTCACTGACAGCAGGACAGCGGACACCATCGGCCTGAGGAGAGGCAACGTGACACACAGCACTGATAGTAAATATTCTGCCAAATATAGTAACAGCCTGATCTCATCCAGCCTCACACTTACTTCCAGTCCACAGACAACACACAGCTGAGCAAACAGCATGACAAACCCAGAAAGTTAGACATTTCACAAGATAACCAGCCTGGACTCTTCAGAAAGTCAAAGTCTTGTGGGAAAGGAGGAAAGGAAAAAAAGGGAAGAATGAGGAAGTATTGTTTTCTTTTTCTTTCTTTTTAAAAAAAAATATATTTTATTGATTTTTTACAGAGAGGAAGGGAGAGAGAGAGAGAGCTAGAAACGTCGATGAGAGAGAAACACTGACCAGCTGCCTCTTGCACACCCCCTACCACCAGGGATGTGCCTGCAACCAATGTACATGCCCTTGACTGGAATCGAACCTGGGACCTTTCAGTCCGCAGACCGACGCTCTACCACTGAGCCAAACCAGCTTCAGCAGGGGGAAACTTTTTAACCTGTGGTATGGCTGCACCAGAGCATACAGCCATGTTTATTAGCTAAATACCGGCACTAGGAGGTGAGCTACTAGAAATTCATGACTGTACCCACAATATCTGAGTGCTCAAACGTGCGCTTAAAATACGCCCAGGTGTTATTAAAGCTACAGACAGGACCTAGCCACTTACCTTGGGCTGCATAGCGGCAAGAACCATCCTCCACCAGAACATTGTAGAAAGGCTGATGATGGCCGTGAGGCAGGCTGTGGACGTTCATGTTTCGAATCCACTCGTGTCCCATCATGCAGGTGGGGTCCCAGCCGTAGATGACACAGTTGTAGCCGTACCTAAGCACAGGAGCACGCAGTCAGTCCCTGGTCCTGGCACCTAGGGCTGGTAAGCGAGGGCTCGGCTTCTCTTCAGCTCCCTTTCCTACATATTCACCTGCGTTTGCTCCAAGCCGAATCCTGTTTCGGAACCCCTGCCCCTCTTTACAAACCCCTCTTACTGTCAACCTAGCACTTCAGTTAGAGAAGCAGCACAACTGGTCACAAGATGGAAAAAGGGGTCAGGACCAGGCCTGCCAACAACACTCCACACTGGTTCTGGAGCACAGAGACCGAGAGGCAAAGTGCAGAGCACCCCCACTGTCCTCACGACTCGGGATGGCCAATGATTTCCTAAACAAGGTCCTGAAAATACAGCCCATAAAGGAAGAGATGGACCAATGTGACCGCCGTTTGGACTGATTCAGACTACCTACCTTCCTGTTAGGGAACTGTTTCTTTTTTTCTGGATATGACAACAGGGTGGCAAGTGTTATTTTTAACAAAGGAGAGAGCCCTTACCTTCCAGAGACACTGAAATAGCTCCAGATGGAATGACATCTGGAATTTGCTTCCAGGGAGGAGGGAAGGGGGTGGAGACAGACCCTGTTATGATAACCAGTGGAGCTGATAGGGGACATCACCTGGTTGTTATACTCACATCTTTTCACTGTTGGTGTTTGGAATTTCCACAATAAGTTAAAAAAAATAGAATGCAATAAAAGAATGAGAACACTAGCCAAGACCTGGAAAAAGATACCTGGCACTCGTGTGTGCATAGAGACTAAATATATGGAGAAAGCACCTATAAATCAGAGCACAATATTGACAAGGAACCTCATGAAAGGAAACGCAATGACCAGGACCTGTGAGAGCGCCTCAGTGGGGCAGCTGGCAGGGAAACTCACAGTAACGCCACAATGAAGCCCCCGGGCCACTGACGACCCGAGTGCGTGTCCAGCGGTCTGGCCGTACCACATGCGGTGAGGAGGGGCGCCCTCACTCCCACAGCTGGAGGTGCAAGTCAGTGCCATGGCTGTGGACAGTCTCCCTTTGTTTCGTAAAGGGGCCCGGTGTGTACCCTACGGCCCGCAGGCCCTGCCTACCGTCTGAATTGGGGAGAGCGAGAGGACAGCAAAGACCATGCAGGAAGGAGAGAAAAACTGTTTACAGCAGCTGCTCCATCTTCCCACAAAGAGAAGGGTCAGACACCCGGAGGTCACAAAACATTAGACCTCCCAGTCAGGACCGCAAGTCCCTCCTTAAAAACAAAACGGTTAGGACGCGGCTCAGCTTGCGGCCTTCCTGCGGTGCAATCCAGGTCACGCTGCCAGGCGTTGGTCCCTTCAAGCACGTCACTGAGGCTGCTCCAGGCCCGCGGGGTCCTCGGCCGCCACGAGGGCAGACGCTGTGGGCACTCACCTCTTATGCTTCATAATGAGCCCAATGGAGTAGCAGACATCCCTGTGCTTCTCGTGGGAACGGAGCTTCACCTCCACGCCCACATCCTCCTTCTTGCGCTCAATGTGCTCTAGTGTGTGCTGCACCAGGTAACCCACGGCCCCGTGCTGCCCGGGGTCTAGGGTCTGAATGTGCTGGAGGATGTCAAGCACCTTCAAGACAAGACAGAAAGACTGGGTGATAATATTTTTATTAAGGCCTTTTCCCTGTTACCGCACTGCATCCAGCCCTACCTAGCCTGACAGGACAGCAAGGAGGGCCCTGATGGGGGCCAGGTCCCCGCGGCTGCCGCACTCTCCCCGTCAGCTCGAACCTGGCACCCTCACTTCTGGTCCTGGGCACAGGCCCACCACCCAGTGCCACCAGCGTGAATGACAGAAATCCCAAGAAACACGGTGGATTGGAGTCAGCGTGGGGGGAGGAGGGTCGGCCACTGACAGGCACATCTGGGTAAAGTGAGCTCTCAAAGGGTTTACGTTCTGCGTCAATGTGGGCTTCAATTAAAAAAACACACGTTATTTACTGGTTTTAGGGAGAGGAAAAGAAAGAGAAAGAAGCACCTGTCTACTGTTCTATCCATTCATGCAATGCATATCGGCTTCACTTTTTGACACACAGAAAGGAAACAACGATAAGCTGCCTGCACTCGAACTGGTTGGAAAAATAAAGGCTCCAAGCCTCAATCAAGAGGACATTGGACGGCCTAAACCGGTCAGGCTCAGGGAGAGGGCGTCGGCCTGCCGACTAAAAGGAGCGGGTTCGATTCCGGTCAAGGGCATGTACCTTGGTTGAGGGCACATCCCCGCTGGGAGATGTGCAAGAGGCAGCTGATTGATGTCTCTCTCTCATTGATGTTTCTAGCTCTCTATCCCTCTCTCTTCCCCTCTGTAAAAACTCAATAAAATATATTTTTAAAAAAGGACGTTGGACAGAACTGCTTCGGGACCATGAAGATGGGAGGGGCCCAGGGAAGCCACCGAAAGGATGCATCTTTGTTTCGGACCTTTCGCCTGCAGAAGGAGGATGTGTGCACCGGGGTTCCAGAGTCCTACCGGCCAGTGCCATGATGCTAACTCAGGACGCAATATCGTATTCAGTGGGCTGTAGAAACCACAGCCCCGTGGGGCTTAACTAACGAGCTGGTAGAAGCAGAACTCAAGTTTATATTCTCTTTACTGACCCAGTGGCTCCAAGGAAAATACAAATTCTGATCAAGTTCCTACCCGCACATGCAGGTGCAAACCCCAACACGTGCACACCATGACCAAGAACAGCAAGGTGGCCCTGCCAGTGGCAGAGTCTCTGACACATTTCCCCTGGGAAACAGGATCCTTCCCTAGTTACTGGGCCCAACGACCAAGCAACCTGGTCTCTAGTCCCGGTCTGTCAAACTCGCTGCTTCTGATTACCAAAGGCCTGTTTTCCTGATACACACCACGCTGTGAAAATGAACTTCTTGTGCAATATATCATAATTCCAATACCCAACCTCGCTTTCCAGACTGAGATTTTTCTGGTCTCAGTTCTGACTAAACACTTATTTCTTGCTGGTCACTGTGCCAGTCCCATCACTTTTTTAATTTCATTTAATCGTCCCAACTTGAATGTCAGCCGGAAGAGGAAGTGAAGGCAAGGAAGTGGCCTGAGGTCACAGGTTATGAAGATTAGAGTGAGGATGAGACTGGACTAACTCTAGACTCCATCACACCAAAGCGGGAGTAGGAGTGTTTTAAATATATATGTTTTATTGATTTTTTAGAGAGGAAGAGAGAGAGATAGAGAGCTAGAAACATCAATGAGAGAGAGACATCGATCAGCTGCCTCTTGCACACCCCCTACTGGGGATGTGCCCGCAACCAAGGTACATGCCCTTGACCGGAATCGAACCCGGGACCTTTCAGTCCACAGACTGACGCTTTATCCACTGAGCCAAACCGGCCTCGGCAGGAGTAGAAGTATTTTAATTAACTGTTATGGATGTTCTTAAACACATAAAAATGGGCAGAATGGTTTTTACTGTGAACCTCCAATCCAGCTTCACCCCTGTCACCTGAGACCCCACCCCCCGCAAGAGGCTTTAACTTGGGAGACACTAATAACCTTTATCTTCTGCAGCGAACACTTGGGCTTGAACAGCGAGTCCTACTGACTGGGCTTGCGCAATGCGTTCCTCATGCTCCCCCGTGCAGTTCCGACCAGTCCTGTGAACCAGACTCTGCTCCCTCCTGGCACAGCTCCCCTTCCCACAGCTCCCACCATCCTCCACCCCGCCAGAGCAAGAAACAGGCCTCACTCGGAATCTTCAGTGCACAAAGGATTCTCAAACGCCCAGTCTCAGAGATGAGGCTCAGGGACGGTCCCCTGTCTTTCCCTTGGTGTGTGGCTGACAGGGTGAGGGGACAGGACCTGGTGATCTGGGCCTTGTATGTTCCCAAAGGACATGCTGACACCTGGGTCCCGTGCTGTGTCCAACCAATGTCTAAGCCTAGAATCCCAGGCCACAACTTCTGGGGTAGAGATCTTGGAAGAGAGGGAGGGGGTCTACCACTCATGATGGATAAATTTTTTATGGAAAGAGCCAGAGAGTAAATGTTTTAGGCGTTGCAGGCCATTCAGTGTCTGATTCAAGGTCGCTGGAAATTGGCCAGAGACAAAGAAGCTAGGGGCGTGGATCCATAAAGCCAGACTGCCTCGGGCCCATGGGCACAGGGTGCTGGCCGGCTGTCCACTGACTGCAGTTTCCCCAAGGCTCTCTCTGGAGCTCCTGGCTCCATCCTCTGATGTCCACCGTCTGTGAGTTCTTCTATTCGGGGGGCTTCCACTATCAGATGCTGACACGTGGGTCCGAGTCCTATCGGATTCAACACTCCCCAAACTAAACCCCTTCCCATACCATGAACAGGCTGCTCTCCAACACCCATTGTTCACGGGCAGTTGGGAAATCGGACCATCCTCCGAGCCTTCCCTCACTCAGGCATGGAGACCTGGCACTTCTTCCTCATGCAGATAAAACTTCTGAGCACCCGCCATGGGCAACTGTGCTGCGAGCAAGGGGAACAGCCCCGGGGAGGGCACAGCTCTGGTCCTCGTCCTTACAGAGCGCTGAGCAAAGCAGCCCAACTGTGGGCTTGACCCCAATAGGGGGCGTGCAGGAGGCTTTGCAAAGGGCGGCGGGGCCCATGCCGAGGGTCTGGGGAGGGGGTTCGGAGGCAGAAGTGAAGCCGGTGGAGTTGAGGGGCAAGAAAGATGCCCCAGGCAGAGGTGCAGCAAATGCAAGGACTGACGCAAACAGGGGCGAGCGGAGATGTGGCTGTGGCGGTAGAGGACAAAAGGAGCCAGTGTGAGACGAGAGAGCTTGGGCGGGTGGGCCACCTCAAGAGAACGTGCCTGGTCTTCAAGACAGCGGGGAGCCACCGGAGGGTCCTGGGTTTTACTAAGATTCCTCTGGCTGCAGTTTATCAAACAGGTTGCAGGGTCTAAGTGTAGAGAAAGGAGAGCACGCAGGGGGCCTATGCAGCCACCTAGGGGCAGAGCCGGGTACAGACGTGCAGGGACACCTTCGGATGCTACTGGAGCCCAAGGTCCGGGCAGGAGGCAGACTCGGGAGCCGGCAGCCCACAGGCAAGGCCTGGAGCAAGAACACGCGTGAGCACCTGGGAAAGTGCAGGGGAAAGGAAGCCTAGGAACTACCAGAGGGCAAGGAACAGGCAGGAGCCTGAGAGCCAGGAACCGAAGTCGAAGAACAGGGTGTTTGGGGCGGGGAGTGGCCTCCAGCGATCTTGGAAGATAAAGAAAAACAAGTATCTGCTGGATTTGGCAACAAGGATGGTTTATCAGAAAGGGGTCATTGGCTTCGCTGGGTTCCCAAGGTGGAGGGTGGGAACGGATCCCCATGTTCTGGGGAGTGTGTGGGAGGCGAGGCAGGTGGCAGGCTGGCCAGCCAGCAAGCTTCAGCCATGCAGAGCAGAGAGATAAGGACGCAGCTGCAGGGAAGTGCCAGCAGGGCCGTCATGGGAGTGCTTTTATGTTATTTTTCCAAAGAAGAGAGATTTGAGTATGTTTAATGCTGGGTAGATAACAGGAACAGGCCATTGAAGGAAGACATGAGGCCTGGCTGGTGTGGCTCAGTAGTTGAGCATCGACCTATGAACCAGGATGTCACCATTTGATTCTCAGTCAGGGCACATAGCTGGGTTGTGGGCTTGATCCCCAATAGGGGGCGTGCAGGAGGCAGCCAATCAATAATTCTCTCATCATTCATGTTTCTCTCTTCCTCTCCCTTCCTCTCTAAAATAAATAATAATATATTTAAAAAAATGTTTTTTAGAGAATAAAGAAATCTTAGTGATCCAAGAAAAGGCAGGGGAGCTGGACCGAGAGCACAGCAGGTTTGCTTAGAAAGCTGGAGGGGTATCTTCCACCCGAGATAACTAGCGTGCCGTCTGTCAGCTTCTCTGGAGACAGTGGACTCGGGCACCACCCACGTCTGAGCAAGACGCTTCAGCAAGCTCCCAGCTTCTCAGGGCCTCAGTCTTATTGTTTGTAAAACAGAAAAATAGTGCATCCAAAGGGTTGGGAGAGTATGATAAGTGCTAGTGGCTTTAAAAGCTGGCCAGAATTCACTCTATTTCATCACAACCACAACACCTTGGACTACCATGACCGGGACCGGGAAGACCTGTATTTTGCTCTTCCTGGTTTAATCCAATTGAAATCATGCTGACCTGGTCTCTCCAGCTTAGGAATGATAAGGTCAAGCAGATTCCAGGCCCTGCACAAAAACTGATCAAAGGCCCAGAAACTATTTCACATACACAGACCTACATGCACATGCACACGTACACGTACAAGGACCCTTGTGAAGCTGACCTCTGCACACACCAAGCTCTCTACCCGAGTTGTATGCACACTGGTTGGTGTGCACAGCAGTAACCCACTGTCCTGCCTTCTGAAATGGCTGGCCATCCTCCAACGTCCACCTCAAACCCTCCCTCCAGAGAGGAGCACTTTCTAATCACCTCTGCACCCCCCAATCCTTCCTCTTGGGGAGCCCCACAGGGCTCCTGGCTAGAGCACACGTTTACAAGGGGAGTCCTCACTCACTGGGAATGAGCCCCTTTTCATTCCTGATCTCTGAGTGGGGGGAACACCTTCGCCAACAGCAAATGCAGAGTCATCGTGAGGACGAGTGCTGCTGGGTAACGGATTGGGAACTTGTTTTGGTGACAGTGACCCTTGCTTGGCAGGAAGGCAGCCCTGGCCTGCCCAGGACTTGAGGTGGTTCCCCGGGAAGCAACGTGCAAGCACAAAGCTGAGCCAGGTGGGTGCTGCGGGTGAAGCCAGAGCCCCTGCAGACTTCCCCACAGAGGAGATGGTAACCTTACTCCTCGGAGACGGACATGAAATTTAAGGACAGAATACATACATATATATATATATATATATATATATATATATATATATATGTATAAAAGAGATGATATGCAAATGAGCCGGGACGCTCTAACAGTCACGGCGGGCTCAGGAGAAGGCTGGGCTCACAGATGGGCCTGTAGTGGAGATGCAACACACAGGGGCCTGCCCTCGCTGGGAGGCGGGCACAAGCAGACACGCCTCTGTGCGTGAGCTGCAGAGGAAACACCTTTTCTGACCGCTCACTGGCTAAGCTCCCTGTATGCCACTCACAGTGTTCTTGGTAACTTGGGCAATAAGAATCCAAGAAGATGATACAGGGTTTTTCCACCTCACTTCTGGAGTTAAAAACGAAGATCTGCTGCTGAAGGGGCTAAGAAATGTCATATCCTGCCCTAGTCCATATGGCTCAGTGGATAAAACCTCGGCTGCAGACCGCAGGGTCCGGGTTCAATTCTGATCAAGGGCATGTACTAGGTTGCAGGCTCCTCCCTGGCCAGGGCCCAGATCAGGGCTCATGGAGGAGGCATACAATCCAAGTGTCCCTCTCACATTGATGTTTCTCTCTGTCTTTCCCTCTCTCTTCCAAGCTCTTTAAAAATCAATGAAAAAATATCCTCAAGTAAAAATAAAAAAAAAAGAAAGAAATGTCATATCCTTTGAAAGAGACATCTTGAAAATGCCTAAAGAGTGGAAACCAGTTTGGCTCAGTGGTAGAGCGTCGGTCTGCGGACTGAAAGGTTCCAGGTTTGATTCTGATCAAGGGCATGTACATTGGCTGCAGGCACATCCCCAGAAGGGGGTGTGCAAGAGGCAGCTGGTCTATGTTTCTCTCTCATCGACGTTTCTAGCTCTCTATCTCTCTCCCTGCCTCTATGTAAAAAAAAAAAAAAAAAAAAAAAAAAAAAATTTAAAAATCAATAAAATATATTAAAAAAAGAAAATGCCTAAAGAAAGCTGTCATTTTCCGAGGTGAAGGGAACGGAGTCCATGCTGACTCGGTGGCAGCAGCGGGTTGATGGGGTGATGCCTTTCCCTGATCAACTGGTCGCCTCCCAGAGGGAGGCCAGACTGCAGCTCCCTTCCCGGAGCGCCCTAAGCCATCGTAGGACATCCTCTGGGGGCTCTCGGACTGTGAGTGGGCCAGGCTAGGCTGAGGGACTCCCCTCCCCCAGGGCACAAATTTTGTGTAAGAGGCCTCTAGTTTAATTATAAAGAGGCCCTGCTTTGAAAGGATCACTGCACTTCACAAGTTATCACAAAATTCCTTAACTAATCTAAAGCAAAACATGATAGGAATTATATATATCCTACTATCAAAACTAAGTAACATTAGCTATTGAATCCTAGACAGCAGATTTGGGCTCTGGGAAGTGGGTGGTGTCTTTGGCAGAGTAGATTTCCCAGGACTCTGTGACTCTGCTCCTTGGGCCACACATGACATCTTCACTTAAGATAGAAGTCTAGAGATTTTCTTACAGGTGTGTCATTTCCCAGAAATACTTTACAACTTAGAAGTTGTGAGTAACTGAGACAACTTAACCCTTTGCACTCCGCTGTCCCCTCTCAGGGGACATTGGAATTCTAGCATATCACTCGGATGTCCCCTCTCAGGGGACATTGCAGTTTATTAGTGATTACGGGGAATTGAGTTAATTCAACGCATGTTTCCGCAGAGTAGCTGGTAGCCAATGTCCAGAATGGTTCGGAGTGCAAAGGGTTAAATCTAAGCAAAGTCAAGTCATTTACATGATTTATTTCCTCAAGCGAAGGTTTTATTCTCTAACAACACAGCTGATGGCTTTCTGACCATGTCATGTGAGAGCTCAGAGCTTAGTGCCCTCACCAGACTGCTCTAAACAAACAAATGGATCACTACCTATTTCCCTGGGAGAAATGTGTAAGGGCCTGATGCAAGCGTGCAGGTACTCCTGCTCTGATACTCAGCTGGCCTTGAGCATCGCCGCCCACAGCCGCTGAGGGGCACTTTTGACCTCACACCACAGCCGCCTCAAAGTGCTTGCTGCTAGCCACAGGGGCCCTGGCAAAACTGGGAACTCCTGTGGAACAGTACTCAGGGCCTGAACTAGTCCAGAGCGGGACGTGTACACTCTAAGAAGTAACTGTGCTGTCACATGGGGCAGCTGGTACGCAGCCACTGTAGTTGCTAATAGCACAGCTGGAGGCTGAGCATCCAGGTTGGGGAAATCTTCCTAAGGGCAGCAATAGGGGAGTGCAGGGCAGCGGCCCTGTGGTTCTGACATTTAAGGCACTGACCACAAAGAGAATGGGCAACTCCACGCAATACAACCATGTTTTTTTAATAAAAGAAAAGCCCCCAAAATTTGAATGATGGGTCAAGACTGGGAGACTTTGAATAGATTTGTTTATCCCCATCTATAATAATAAAAGTATAATATGCTAATTAAACCGGACAGCCGAACCACCTTCCAGACATCCTTCCGGACGAAGCTGGAGCTGCGAGGGCCGAGCCCCTTGCACGGATTTCCGGCATCAGGTGTTAATATAAGGACAAATCTGCGAGAGCCGCCTTTCCAGTTATGACCCCTCTCTAAGGCAAGTGCAAAGCATCAAAGTCAAATAATTACCTTCTCTGGCCAGATGCCCAGGTGGAAGTAGAGCCTGGCTTGGAGGAGGAGGAGCTGCACCTGGTCCGGGTACATGGCCAGGTACAGGTCCAGTGAGTCTCGCAGGAGCTGGTACGACTGGTCGATGCCTTCCCTGTGGGAGAGAAACCTTCGTCTTATCCCGCGTACTTCTAAGACCCTCTTTGCAAGGCCCAGGTTTTAGAAATATTTGACAGAAATCCCCTACATGTTCTGATTCTAATACTTCCTCTCAATTCAGTAAATAGTCACAATGGTCGTAATAAAGACACACACACAAAAGAAATATAAAGTTTACACCCCACTTTGGGGATGGGCACTAAACTAAAAGCTGTGTTTCGTTAGGTAGTTACCTCAGTAGCACTGTATATAATTAAAATTGAATTCTGACAAGTCAGAGCAGAGGACTTTTAGGACTGAAGCTGTTCTGTGATAATGGCAGATACGTGTCTTTAAACATTTACTAAAACCCAGAAGGTACAATACCAAGAGTGAACTGATGTATGACTGTAACTCTGGACTCTGAGTGATTAGGTGCCAATGCAGATTCATCAATCAGAACCAATGCACCACTCTGGTGCTGGGTGCTGCCCTGGGGAGGCAGAGGTATCTGGGGAGTCACTGTACTTTCTGCTCAGTTTGCAGTGAACCTAAAACTGCTCTAAAAATAAAGCTTGTTTAAAAAAAAATTCTGCCACAGCAGAAAACTACTGCTACTGTGAAAGCTTCCTCCTTTCTCCCAGGACACATTTCCCGTGGACTCAGACACACGCCCCTGTGGGCCTTGTGATCTAAGTGACAGAAAGGTCCCTGTTACCGGATGACAAAGCACTTGACCTAAGAACACCCTGAAAGAAAACCTGGGCCGGTCAGAGGCATTCTTGTCGCTGAAGGGTGCTTTCGACATTTATAAAGAGAAGCTGCCCAAGTCCACTGAGATTTCAAGGGAAAATCACTGAGCATGTCTTAAATCTGACAGCATTATGTCACGGGAGCCAGTTTCTCTGTGGAGGTGACAGCGGTGCCTCCTCATCCACTGCTCTGCTGTATCACCGGGAGGCTCATTAGGAAAAGTCTCCATAAGGCACTCAGGCCCCGAGGTCACACCCTCCGCAGAAGCACTGGAAAATGAGAAAACCTTACCGCTTTCCCAGGCTTAGAAGGTTTCCCACCATTCGCTGCAGCACCTTCTTCACGTTGACCACCCCGTACAGCGCCGCAGTCACATGCTGGCCGATCAGGTATTCACACTCTTTCACAGTCAGCTGCCTGCCTTTCCCAAAAGCATCGATGTAGATGTAGTCGAAGATGTCCAGGTTGGCTCTATAGAGAGAGCACATGGAGTCGCCACGGCTCACGGAGCTGAGCAAGTCAATGCTTCAACCCCTAACAAGTAGCTCACATCAGAATGAATGTTAACCAGCAGCATTTCTACTAAAACTACAAGGCCTTGTCCCAAGTGGAGACTCTGACCCTTTATTCGTGCTCTGTTGAGCTTAGGACATGATATTTAGGATGAAGAGTATTTATGTATGCCAACTAATACAGTTCTTCAGGGAGACGAGTCCTAAAACCCAGTGCCAGGAATCCCTGTCAGAGTTGGATGAGCAGTGCGAATGTGTGGACCCTGGGCCCTCGAGGCTACGCACGGAGTTGTGGCACCTGCCACCAGGAGCATTCTGCCCTCGGCTCTGCAGACACTCAGGGAGTCACAGACCTGCTGAGCCCGACCAGGGCCTCAGGCTGGGCACGTGCTCCTGGACTCAAGCACATTGCCCCCCATGAACCCGCCCTTGCACGTGGTGGTGGCCACCCTGCAGAGCGCTCTATGAGGGCTCCTGAGACACTGAGCTGTCTCTGCCACAGGGACAGCTGTATTTGACCTGGGAGCAACTGTTTCAGATTTCTTCCTTTGGCAAGACATTAGTCAATGTCACAGAAACAGGGATGTTTTTCCAACCCTTTTTATGTATCTAGGAGAACCGGATATACACACACACAAACACAAGCAAATCGAATGCAGCAATGTATGTAAAAGAATCCATATGATTAGGTTAGATATACCCTGAGAATGATGGGTTGAACATTAAAACATCTATTTCAAGCATATGCAGACTAAAGAAAAACCATATGATCTTATCAGCAGACACAAAAGGAAATTTTAGAAAAGAGATCTACTGCGTAGTTATTAATACAAGTCTTAGTGAAATAGGAACTTAGAAGGCAGCTTTGATAATCCTAAAGAAGACACTGTCCCCAACCATCATCCTTGAGGTGAGATTTTTACAAGGATTCTATCTACAGCCAAACTCGGTCGAGGGGTTTGCTATCACTGACTGTTTCTATTCCACTTGGCTCTAGAAGCCTGGGCCAGCAGAATTAGATAAGCAAAAGAAACAAAAACAGAGCAAGGATGGGAAGAAAAGAAACGAAACGGTCACCATTCACAGACAACACGACTATCCACAGAGAAAAGCCAAGAGCTGACAAGTTATTAGCACTCATCATTTATTCAGTGAAGGCGCTGATTACCAGGTCTGTATCTAAATATTATCCCTATCCCTGTTCAATGTCAACCCTAAAAAAAGTTATTTTAAAAATTTACCATTTACAATAGCAACAAAAATTTAAAGCGCTAGAACAAATCTAACAAGATGTCAAAGGGCTCGAAGAAAACAATAGAATCTTTTAAGAACACTAAGGGTGACTTATAGTACACATATGGGAGATGTGTTCACAGACAGCCTCAGAATGGAACACTAGCGATATTTCTTGTATTAACGGATGGTTGCAATTCAAGTAAGCACTGGTGTCAATCAATACGGGGGGTTTTATTAGAGAAAAAGACTAAGAACAGCCATGGCAATTGGAAGAACTCGATAGAGGTCTCACCTGCCAGTTATAAGTATAATGAGAGGGCACAAGCACAGGGAATGAGTGTGGTCTTGGTGCAGGAAGGGAGGGAGGGAGGAGGATGCAGAGAAGGGCCTGCAGCCAGCTGCTGGGAGACCTGTGCTCTTGCCTTGCCCACTCTCCCCTGCCTGTCCCTGAGGGCCCTGCCCAGCTCTAGTTGGGTCTCAATGCTTGTGTTTGGCCAGGAGACCTGGGATGCTAACAAATTATTTAACTGCTCATTTACACTGTTCACTAAGAAGGCAAAATTATAATGCTACCACAACTGTACTCAGTAATGATATTGTGATAAATAACATGGTAATTGGTGTTTTAGATGCTTTATATTATGCAGAAATTGTGGTGGATTATTATACAGGCATTTAAGAATACTTTAGAGGTATTTGGGGAGACTGGTTGGGTTATTCAGGGAATGAAAATGGGCTGAAAAAAATCCTTCTTCCCCATTAATAATGGAAAATGAGTGCCTGCTATCCAAAAGAGGAACCATCGAATACATATTTAGGAACAGACCATATTTGGGAAAAAAGGGACAAAGTACATAATATTTAAAGAAAAGTACATATGTATCAAACTATTAAAATCTGCATGAAAATAGTATTATTTTCTGGTGGTTATCTCTGGAGAAGAGAGGAAGAAAAGGATAAGGAAGAACACCCTGGAAGCTCCAACTATACATGTTTTCTTTCTTTCAAGTAGGAGGCAGAAGTACAGAGACCATTACACTTCCTTTCTATGTATGTCAGAAATTCCGCTATGTGATCTAAAAACTGGGCCCTCACTTAATCCTCCAAGACGCTTCATGAGAAATTATGGTCCCGTTTCAAAGGAAGAAACTGAGGCTCTGAGGAATCCAAGGTTTGAACCCAGTCTGCCTTCAAATCTCAGGCCCTTTCTGCTATCCTGCCCATCACTTTACCGACAGTCTCACAACTAGTCACTTGAAAGTGGGTTCAAAGAATAGGATATAATTAAATAATTTTGCTTCTTTTTCCTTTAAATGGCACATTTAATGAGAAGATATTCTACCTATTTGATGAATGAATTCTTGCAGAAAAGTTAGACAATAGCTGAAAAGGAGCTTTATGCCAATAGAACACCAAGTTTAAGAGAGAACAATTCATTAACCTGGTCTCTACCATGCGTTTCAGTAACCAACTTTGCCCAAGGAGTCTGAGATGATATAAGTACCCGGATATTTACTCTGCACATCAAAGAAGGACTTGGCTAATCTGCTCCCTCTCCCCCTCTCTTGTGTGGGAGAGAAGGGAGGTTTCACGGACACTGGAAAGTACGTTTCTTTAAGAACCCTTCAATCTGATCTTCTTTGGAACAAAGAGACTTTGAGAGTCACATAAGCCCTTGAACCCCTAGTCCTATTCTTTAAAGTTAAACTTTTTGAGACAATTATGTATTCACATGTAGCAAATACAGACAGACCCAGAGAACCTCCTCCCAGCCAATTACTGAGAAATACAGCCAAGAAACACAACAATCCCATCACTCCTTAACCTGCTTCGTTACATTTCTCTCCAAACCGTGGGAATCCTCAGGACCACCCCCGTCACAGATGCTCACCCTTCCGCGCCCTGGCACCACCTCAGCAGGAAGTGACTTGGGAAGTTGACAGGTTCCAGAGGGACCCCCAACTGGCGGGCAATGGTCATGTAGAGCAGAGACATGCTGATGGGGATCCCTGTCCTGCGGATCAGGACCTAGAGGAGAGAGAAAAGCTTCAGCGCACTAGAAAGCAACCTCAATTCTCATCCCTTCAATGCACATCTCTGTGCCAGGCAGGAGGCTAGGTGCTGAGATTTAAGTGGATGAATAGGTTATTTATTGTGGCCAGAGGTCGCAGTCAATGGACCAAATCTGGCCCACCACCTGTTTCGGCATGGATTGTGTAAAAACACTATTAATAGACTTATTGTTTAAAAAAAAAAAGTCAGAAAATACTATTTCATGACACACAAAAATTCTGACATGTGAATTTCCACGTGTATATATTAAGTTTTATTGGAACGCAGCAGTCACTTGTTTGGAGCTGCCGGTGCCCCTTTCCAGCTGCGATGGAGAACTGAGCAGGGGCGACAGAGTTTGTGGCCCTAACAGAGAAAGCCCCAGACTGTGACTTAGGCCTCTTCTTCCAGAGGGAACTCAAGGCCACTTCGAGGGAAGACTGCAAGATGTGAAAAAGGAAGATACAAGTAGCACAGAGAGCAACAGAGGAGACCTGAAGAGGGAGCCAAGTAGGAAGCAAATAAAAAGGAAACGTCCGTGACATAGCGGGCCACAGACTTCCTCCCACCTCCCAGGCCAGGCCAAGAGGAAAGGCGGGGCAGTTCCTCAGTTTGGGGCTCACAAGATACACATGGAGGCCCAGCAAGACCTGCTCTAGCCAGAGCTCCTCTCAAAGGCTTCCCGACAAAGGCTGCCTTGCGGATGGAACAAATGCAGCGTTTTCCTTACAGTAAAGGAAAATGGGTGTGAAGGCACTGAGTGAACGGTCTGAATGGTCAGAGATGGGCGGGATTATTTTTATAGACCCACACTTACCTGGTGCATATATAAGTTGAGGGCGTTATAGTAATCCATGCGGTTCCCCTTGAACTTCAGCTGGTCATACAGGACATAGTTCATGGCGTCCAGCACCTGGCTCTGGAGCTCTATCTCCATTACCATGGAGGACTCACCTGAAACAGAGTCTACCCTGAGGACACAAGCACAACCTGCACCACGCAGACACTCGCCAGGTGTTACCGATCCAGGGAGAAGGGCTAGGTCAGTGGTCGGCAAACTCATTCGTCAACAGAGGCAAATATCAACAGTACAACAAATGAAATTTGAGAGCCAAATTTTTGAAACTTAACTCTATAGGCAGGTACATTGTTATTAATTTAATTAGGGTACTCCTAAGCTGGTCTTTGCTAAAAACTCAAGGGGCCAAAGAGCCGCATGTGAGCCGCAGTTTGCCAACCTCTGGAGTAGGTACTTACGTTACCCAGGTAAACACGTTGTGTCAGTGCTTTTTGGGACACGAGGGGGAGCACACTGCAGCACGTCCAGGGAACCAATCACCCCAGGTGTCCCCGGGCAGAGGGGTCCAGAGCAATGCCACACCTGCCTTGGAGGCCAAACTGGGGTGGCGGCTGTTGATGCCCCGCAGGGTCTTGCGCACCAGCTCCACGATGCTGCCGATCTGGGCCTGGATGTCCCCGAGGCTGATTTCGGAAAGAGGGTTGCAGTACTGGTCGATAAACACGGCACCTGAACAGGAACAGGAATTAGTGAGCACATTCCTATTTGTACCCTTTCTTCTTAGTTTGTCATCTGCCCCAGATGCCTGAGGCCACCGCTCCTGACAACACCCCTCAGACAAGCAGCGTTGTGTCTTGGAAGTCAGGCTGGCTGCTAAGACACTGAGAAGACCAAGCAACATTCTCACAACTGTTGTTTTGTAAATACACCAGACCTCGTTCAGAGGTCGTGAACTCAAAAACCTGAGTGATACTTGGCATATTTCCATGTTCTATATCATGAGATATAAATGCTATAAAGGAGATCTTTCAAACGATCTCTCATTTAAAACGCAACAACTCTGAACACAATGTTGTAAGACAGTTCTTTAACTTAAAAAAATAGCTGTAAGTTCTCAGTGACAGATATGCCATTTCAACAAAATGTCCCTCCCCAAGGTGAGCCAGTAAATGGGCTTTGGAGATCATCATACTTTCAAAGTGGGCGACCAGCTACCCTCAAGGACCCTCGGCGAAGCAGCTGCAGAGAGCACAATGCACACCGTCCATGCAGTCCCTCTGCCCTGCCCGCGGTCATTTCTTAACCAGAGGCCTCGGACTCTTGTGATCATCTGACTGCAGACATTTTGAGTTGGGAAAACACTAAATTCAAGCGGCCTCAAACCAGCTTGGAATCTGGGCCCCTTACCCACACCCTAAGGAACCGAAAGCAGATGAACGGGTGTCAAGAGATCAGGACCCTAGTCCGTTTTACCACCACGGGGTTTGGCTCCCGGGCCTCCTTGGAACTCAGCTCTCTACCTGCACGTGGAAGGAATTTCTGCCAAACGTCCACATCCATTCCATCCTAACGCTCTGATTCCCAGCCCGTGTCAGTGGCATCAGATTATCTAGTTAGAGGACAAGGATCAAATCCTGGAGCCTAATTCCATTCACTCAACTACTTAAAACCTCCAATGGCTACCCAACGCCTACAGCACTGACCTGGACAGGTTACCTGAAAATGATAATATTACTTTATAACTGGAAGATGGAAAAGAACTGTTTCATAAGTAAGCCATGGAAAAAAGCTTGTCAAAGCATTCTTAACTGTGGAATAAACAAGACAGGATGACTGGCAATTCCTGTATGCTCATCAGAGGAGGGCAGGGTGGTGAGGTCACTTTGATGAATTGCAACAGACTTTTCATTTCGTTTTAGATGACAGAAGTCATTCCTACAAGCCAGCATCTGCCCAGGCATTGTGGAGTGGACAGTGATGGCAGCATACAGACAAGGAACATAAGAAAGCCAGTGTCTACTTGGAGAAACGGCTTGTGCACACACAAGACAGAAATGATGCAACAGAATTTGGTAGCTGATGCTCCTGCGTTAGTTCCGAGGTGAGTACAATTTGTACTGCAGCAGCCAGAGAAACTCAAGTGGAACCTGACTGAACGTTCAGAGGGTGAGGATTTAAGAGGAATTGGAAGGAAAAGGGATCCATAGATGATGTGAACGAAGCCAGGGTGAAGTGAGGGCAATGGCCTGCTGGAGCAGATGGGACACTCTGGAGGGCCGGGGGCAGGAAGGACTGGACATGGAGCCACTGAAGAGCAGGCAGAGGTCGGAGAAGCAGCAGGACAGCAGCTGCCGCACTGCTGGCTTGCACACCGGGGGGAAAAAGCTGGACTGAATGTAAGGTGGCTGGCCTGAGGGCAGAAGGGGGTGATGCTCATGAAAGCAGTAACACTTATTATAGAAAGCTGCTGCTGGGAGAGGTGGTGGGAGCCGGCAGAGAAGAGAACGGAGATGTGACGGAGAGAAACACTGACAGGAGCAAGTGAATGGGGTGAAACTCTGGGAATAGGGAATGTATGTATTTCAGAACCACAGCTTCTGCGAGTGTTTGCGTAAGGTGCCAGGAATTGAACATTGAAAATAGTCACATGCTGTTCTTGTTCACGTTGGTAGGAGCAGGAAGTTACTGCCTTTATGGCTCCTGTCCACTAGGCTTCTCCCCCCTCATCTCTGAGGGCCAGGCACTCACGGATGCGCAGGAACATTTCGTCCTCATTACACTCTGACCAGAGGGGGCAAGGGATTGGCTCCAGTCACATGGAGACAAAAGTGGACCAACTGACTTCTGACTTGGAAGTGAGGTTTCAAAGCTTAGCAAAAGAGGGACTTATTCCCTTATCTGAAATATCAGCCTCTCATGCTGTGAACCGAAGGTGCATCTTGAGAGAAGACGGTCTCTTCAGCTGACAGCTCAAGGTTTTAACAAAATCCCAGCTCTACACTGACTGGTTCTGCCCTTCCTACATGACCGGACCACTCACTCCAACTCCGAAGCCCCTGCGGCTGAGCTGACTTCCACAGCGGCTCACCCGTTTCCCCGTGCTCCCAGCCCAATGTAGCTGCCCACGGAGGCAGTGCTGCTCAAGTCTCACCTTCAAGATACGATTCATAGTCATCCGATTGCTGAAGAAAAGCCTTAAGGTTATTTAAAATTTTCTGCTGTCGTAGGTAGTAAAGGATTTTTTTTGCGTAGTACTTCCAGGTCAAAGCTTTCCTGGAACAAACAAACATACTGCAAGTCAATAAGAATTAAGATATTACAACGTTGAGTGATTAGTTTTTACTTCACGCTAGTCATACCATGTAAAGAGTCTACTTAACAAGACAGCTGTAACTGGTCCATGGCCATAGCACTTATTATCATGGAATAAGACAACACAATTCAGGACTTTATTGCGCATTTGTAATGTACAATGCAGGATGTGTATTTGTAATGTAACACTAATTCAAGAAAGTTATCGGTTCGGTTTCAGAGTTACTGAAAGGAGATTAAAGAGAAACCTGAAAAGTGAGGAGAATGGGTGATCTTGGGAGGGGGCGGGTCTGGAACCCTCGGCTGGGCCCTCCGCACCTGGCAGCGGGAGCTCAGGCCTCGGGGTGCTGCTTACCTCCTGTGCTGAACACCAAAGTGATATCACCTAATCTCATGGTGTCAAGTGTTATCCACATGGACAGTCCTCAATTTACTTTCCAAACAGATTTCTTCCCTGCACCCCAGACCTACATATCCAACTGCTACTCCATGTCAGCACTTGGGGATCTGGTGATCCCCTTAAAGTCATCCCCATCCTATATAATAAAAGCCCAATATGCTAAGTGCCCGGTCATCTGTTCAACCAATCAAAGCGTAATCCTCCTATATAATAAAAGGCTATATGCAAATTGTCCCCTTCAGAGTTCAACCAGGAGTTCGATCACTCTCTATGATGTCTGCTGACCACCAGGCAGTGGCACAGAATATGGCGGGCAACCAGCAGCGGGGAACCTGATTGGCCCTGATTACCAGGCATGCCTAGGGACCTTTCCTGTGTATGAATTTCATGCACCAGGCCTCTAGTATGCTAATGATATGCTAAGGCCACTCAACCGCTCTCACTATGACATGCACTGACCACCATGGGGCAGATGCTCTGACTTGTGCAGGGGTCTGGCAGATCGGAACTGAGCAAGACAGTCTGGACAAGTCCTGGAACCCTCCCGACTGGCCAACCTCCCATGCCCTTCCCTGACCCCAATTGTGCCCCAGTGGGGTCCCTTGGCCTGGCCTGCGCCCTCTCGCAATCCGGGCTGAGGGACCCGCCCACTCTGAGTGCATGCATTTCATGCACCAGGCTTCTGTCTCAGAGAAAGGCCATTCCATCACTCCAGTTAGGCCTCAAACCCTAAATCATCCTTGACTCCTGGCTTTCTCTCATTAGCCACATTTAACCCATCCACCAATGCTGTAGTTCTATCAGGAATGTGAACACTTCCCACTACCTCACCTAAGCCACTGTTGCCTTTTGTCTGTATCAGAGTGGCATCCTCCCTACTGAGTGTTCTGCTTCAAACCTTGGGCCTCACAGTCTAAGCTCAATACAGTAGCCCGAGCACTCCAGGGAACATATCAAATCACAGCAAAAAAACTCTGTCCCAAATGCTCCAGCGCTTCCCACCTTGCTCAAAGTAACAGCCCAACTGAACTGTGGTCATTTGAAAAAAATCTGCATATCAGCAGACCTGACCTGCAAATTTCAAACCTAAGTTGTACAAGGGTCAAATGTACTCATCTGCTTTACTTCACCTGTCTCTCTCTCTCTCTCTCTCTCTCTCTCCAATATTCTCATCACTTTGATGATTACTGAAAAACTGCTAAATGTTTTGCTTATTATCCCCCATTCTCTGCTGTTTAAACAGCGGCATCATATCCACATTGTCAAGGCTTATGACCACTACATACAATACTGACTACCCTACTGTCATTTGGATTTAATTCTACAAGTACACACATAGTTTAAAAACTAAATACATATTTAATGCTCACCACTAGTCCTTGTCAAGGCCTCTTTTTTCCAAGTTCATTTTCTAGCATGTTTCTGAGGAAGGGCTCAAAAGCCCCCAAGTCCTTGCAATTTGGTAAGTCTATCTGCAGCTTTATCCTTGGAAGTCAGTTTGGCTGGATATAAAAATCCTTAGTTGACATTTTTTACCTCTGAGTATCTTAAGTATGCTACTCTCTTTTCTTCTGGTACAGAACATATTCTGATTTTCTTTTCCTTAGAAGTGACTTCGCTTTGTTGTTTTGTTGGTGGTGTTTTGTTTGTTTGTTTGCCTGGATTATCAAAGCACTTCTTCATTTTTAATATATAGTAGTTTTACTAAAATATGTTTCAATGTTGGCCATTCTAGGACCAATTTCTCAGGTACTGTACCCTTTTAATATGTTGTTTCAAATCTTTACTGCAGGATATACTCCTTTTAAAAACCACATGGAACATCATAAATGCAAACTGTTTTCAAATATCCACACAGTGGTGTTTTAGCATTTACAGAAACTACCCTTGCTCTTTCTTATGTTTTCCAGCAATTTGCAGGAATAAATACAATAAGGTCTTCCATAAAAACTGGCATTCCAAAGTAGTTAATAAATGTGACACTATCCCTTATTACCTAAAAACAACACTGTTTCTTATTATTTTTTAAATCCTCATTTGAGAATATACATACATGTATATATTTTAGAAACAGAGGGAGGGAGGAAGGGAGAAACACCAATGTGAGAAACATCGACTGTTTGCCTCCCATATTTGCCCTGACCAGGATTGAACCCACAACCTAAGTATGTGTCCTCACAAGGAATCAAACCTGCAACGTTTGGTGTATAGGATGATGCTCTATCTAACTGAGCCACCCACCCAGTTCTGGTTTTTATTTTTAAAAAAATATATTTTATTGATTTTTTACAGAGAGGAAGGGAAAGAGATAGTTAGAAACATCAATGAGACAGACATTGATCAGCTGCCTCCTGCACACCCCCTAATTGGGATGTGCCTGCAACCAAGGTACATGCCCTTGACCAGAATCGAACCTGGGACCCTTCAGTCCGCAGGCCGACGCTCTATCCACTGAGCCAAATCAGTTACAGCAACAGTTCTGTTTTAGGATAAAAATCTATGTCAGGTCAAGGGGTAACAAACCTGTTCTTTATTTCTAAAAAGACGATAATAATGTATGTTTTTATTGTTTGTGCATATTCAGTCTCTTCCCCAATCTGATAAATAAAAAAATAAAAAAGGCAATTAAAGGTCTCTGTACATAGTCAATAATCACCTTGATTTGCTCTTCTGTAAATGTCATCCTCCTATCCACTTTTCAATTTCTTCTTGGAAATTTTAAGAATTATATTGACTTTACAGTTTCTTTGGTCATACAGAAGTTTATCTTTTTTTAATTGCAAAACCATCCGTCCATATTCTTTTACTGCTTCTGCATTATCAATCTTGTCAAGGAAGTCTTCCTGAATTATACATAAAATCTCACATTTCCTTGAAGGTTTTTCACTGTGATAAAATTTAAGTTGTTCGATTTTGGAATTTTGTTTTTATCTATATATGACGCAAGTTTTACTCCCAGATGTATAATCAGTTGAATGCCTAAAAGCATTCATTAAATGGCCCAACTTTCCCCCTCTGAGTTTAAATGTATCATCTTTTATGCTGGGACATGTTTCTGAATTATCCTTTGCCACAGACATGACTATTGATTTTTACTTAAACATTGTATTATTGTCATTACAGGAAGCTTTATAATATGCTCTAATATCTAGTGATGCAAGTTTCCCATTGTGATTATTTAAAAATTGGGGTTTTTTTTCCCCTCTTATGAATTTATCCTTTTTTGACAATATTATCCAATTAAAACATACACAAAAAACTCCCAAAACTTTCCTTGGTTCCTAATTAAAATGGCAATAGTTTTATGTATTAATTTTGGAAGAACTGACTTTTTTTTATGATAGTTAAGTTTTCCCATTCAAGAGCATGCTCTTATTTTGTGTTTTTCAATAACTTTCTATAGTCTAACGTGGGCAATCCCATCAAAGGAATCTTTCACTGAGAAACAAAAACCACCAAAACATCACCCTCCACAGTAACATAAAAATGGAGAAAAGAGTGGTTACCCATCAATAGGGAATGGTTAAATAAATTATGGTATACATTATAAAGCAGTAGGCAGCCATTTAAAAAAAGTGAATTAGGCCAAGTGAATTAGGCCGAGACTGGTTTGGCTCAGTGGATAAAGCGTCGGCCTGCGGACTGAAAGGTCCCAGGTTCGATTCCAGGCAAGGGCATGTACCTCGGTTGCGGGCACATCCCCGGTAGGGGGTGTACAAGAGACAGCTGATTGATGATTCTCTCTCATCCATGTTTCTGACTCTATCCTCTCCCTCTCTGTGAAAAATCAATAAAATATATTTAAAAAAAAAAAAAGTGAATTAGATTTTTTACCAGTTGATTAGGATCCATTTCAGTAAGTAATATTGAATGAGAAAAAATATACAGAAAAATACCTATTTTATGATCATAATTTAAAATAATGACCCCCTGGTTCCCATATGTATCAGTGCATATTAGCATGGAAGAATACAATCTAGTGTGTCATCATGAATTACATGGTAAGGCCAATACAAATAGGGTCGGGAGGGAGAAAACCAGCATAAGTAAGAAAAAAACAAAGTCTGCACTAAAGATCATGTCAAAACTAAATAAGCTCAGTATATATGATCTTACATGTATGCGTGTAAAAGTATATGCATATAAATGTAAAAAGGACAAGTCAGCTTTTATTTTTAAGGCTGCACAATACTGGCTATCAGATCATACTTCAATTCATTTATAGAAAAACCAAAATAGAAATGGAAAAATGACCTCTGGATCCGAACTCATCCAAGGCCTAGAATAGTGACACATCTTACCTCTCCCCTCCAGTTGTTCTACTAATAGATATTTATCTCTCTTACACCACCTTAAAACGGCAAGGAAAACATCCTCATGCCTTGCTTGTGAGTTATTGCACAACGATTTCTCTTAAGGAAGATACTAAACTAACATTCTTATCTCCCATTATCAGCAGTTTCCAGAACTCATGGGTAGGTTAGGCTGGAAGCCAAGTCACCTTTCAGACAAGCTGGTAATTAACCCTCATAGTAGAAAATATGAATCATAAACATTTTTAGGCAACAACCAAGAGATAATGGATTCTTCTTGATCAGGAGAAATAAAAGAAGGGCCCAACCAAATATCCATAATGTTTAAGACCAAAGTAAGGTGATTTCTTACCCAAATGACATGATAGATATGAGTGCCCAGAGCACAGTGTTTGACCCGTGGACAGACTAAACACATATTAATTCTCTTTTCTTTCCAAAAGGATTATTTGAATGTTTTTTAAAAATATCAATTGTCTTGGTGTACTTACCTTACTTATATAAGATTTTTCAAAAATACTAACTGTAGCAACATAGAAGAGATCTGGAAATACATATCCATGGTTCAGCCACATACAAACTATAGCAACTAATTCTGGGGTTATTATGAAAACAAACACACAGACAAACAAAAATATCCCTGCTATAACCATGGCTTACCTTCCTTCCATATTTAGGATACACACTAGTTCATCCTCAAAAAATATCTCTGGCCCCTCGAGATTCTCAATGTCACTGAAACCGTTACAAGGGACCTATGAAGAGACACACAAACAGGCATCAGTAACGAGCAATGATGTCCTTGTCACGCTCAGACACAAATCTGAGATGCAAAGAAAGATGGTCATTTTTATCTAAGTGGTAACACCTATCCCATACTATCCTGTACCACCTACCATGGGTGGAAAGTAAGATGCAAAGCAACAATAGTTTGTTCAGATCTTGTTGTTAATTGCAAATTAATTATGTTTTCATATAATGTCATGAAATTTCTGAAGTTGATAACTTGAGAATTCTAATGTGAAGAAAAATAGCTCTGTAACAAGAACTAGAAATACAAAATCGAATTCCTAATCACTATCTCATGCATTCTGTGCTGCATTCAACTAGGAGGAAAGGGCCAGAGAGAGAAGTCCAGTGCTTTGGGCTACTCAGCCCACTGGGCACGCTTTCTCCTCTGCAAATTGAGGCAATGGTCCCAATGCGCTTGAAGAATTCCTCAGTTTAAAATTCTATTACTTTCCCACTTTTCTTTTTGAAGGTAACTTCATGTCAACCTGTGTGCATGCGGAGAACACAGGAATACAAGGGTCCTGAGCCACAGTCATCGTCCACCCACAGACCGATCTTAAGTGTACCCCTGCTATGTTCAACGTCCTCCACATAATTCTAACTAAGCAGCAGTACAGGGGAAGAGGGAGCTAAGAAAAAAACACAATAGCTCATCATGTTAGACAAAGGCACAGGCTGTCAAAAATGTACACAAAATCAACTAGACTAGCAGCAGAGGTTGCAAGTTAGTTGCCCATGACCGAGTGCGTGAAATACATGGATGTGCAAACACTTTTAAACAAGCACCTAAAATCTGTGATTCTGAATGCTTTTAGCCAGGGCATGGCTTATCCAAAATGGAACATGAATTTTGTCCATTCTAAAATTAATAATCATTTACTTATAGAGATGAATGACATTAGGGAATATCCAGTTGTATTCCCCACAGGAGAATAAATTTTAACTTTCCTTTTCAAAACTTAAAAGAGCCTTGAAAACATTTCAAATGTATGAACTCCAGCAATTAAAATGAGAAAATAGGAATTCATCTGCAGGAAACCAAGAGAGTCAAATAAATCAGCTTGGCTGTATCTGCAGCCCTCCCATCCCTATCCCTCCCACCAGAAATGCATTTAAAGTATTAGCATGGGCTATTTCCCAGAGTTACAAAAAGCTAAGAATCAGGACCTGATACAGAAACTTCTGTGAATGCTTTATGGAAGGAAAAACAACAACAACAACAACAACAACAAAAAAAAAAAACCCCACATGATTTCAGCAAGATATAAAAGAAAACTTTTCAGAGATAACGAATGCAAGGCAATTTACTTGAGGGAGTAATCTTTCTGATTTACAGATAGGTTTTAATCCTGTTAGCTTAACACTATTGGTTAGAGCCCATAAAGCCAGGGAGAAGAACGGTATTAATTTCACCAATCCTTTTGGGCAAACAACTGGGTGAAATTCGTGGTTTTTGGCGATTCCCCCAGGTCAGGTAGAGGTTGCAAAAAAACAAACAAACACAAAAACCACACACACACACACACACACCATTAACCCACTTGTAGAAAAACAAGGCTGATCTGAATTCCCTCTACATTGCGCTGTGCTGCTCGCTGGTCCCTCCCTCCCTCATTCTCTGTCTGGCTGTAGAAAAAAGTAAAGCTGGCAGGGACAAATGGCTGCATGCTGTTGGACAGGAGAAGGACACAATGACTCTTGCAGCCTTCTGAGTAAGGAAGGGATTGTGAGAGCATTGAGAAGAGATAGCACAGACACACACACACACACACAAGCTGGATGAGCTAATGCCTAGACACACACACACATCACTACCAGGCACAAGCTTAGAGCTACAGGGCCAGATGCTTACGTGCTCTGCAAAGAACCTCTTGGAGAAGGAGGCTACAATCTTCCGGGCTTCTACCCCAGCTTTCTGCCGAACTTTATACTCTTCCAACCAATTGACGTAGTCGGTGGGGCTGTAGTGTTTCATCAGGGAAGGCCACCTACAGACAAGGAGGAAAACACCCCTCAGCTCACACAGGGCCCCGATCGCAGGCGGCCTGGGAAAGCAGGGGCCGCGGGCGGCTGGCTCAGCGGTCACAGGGCCCAGCCCTCGCTCCGATCCCGGTGACCTTGGCACCGCAGGATGGGAATGCCGTCTCCACTCCCCATCCGTAAAATGGGGGCAGTGGCAGCACGAACCGCTGTAGGGGTGACAGTTACCATGTCCGCGGCGCCTCCTAAAGAGGAGGGCCCTCTGGTGAGTTCGACACGTCGTCTCTTTCAATAACCGCAGCCAAAGGTGGGTCTACCGAGCGCCAAAGTCGATGAATGAGGCTCAGAAATAAGGGAGGTCTACCCCAAGGTCATCCGGCGAGGATGCCGGGGCCAGATCTTACCCCGGGTCCCACCCCGCAATCTGCGCCCGCCACTCAGGGCCCCGAGGCTCCGGCATCCCGGTCCGGGTAAACATGGCCCGCCGGGCACAAAGGAAGCCGCAGGGCGGACCACAGCCGCCTTCGTCCTCCGTCCGCGAGGGCCCGGCCGCCGGGCGCTTCCGACGCGCCACCCGGGCGCCGGAGGGGCCGCGCGGCCGGCGGCCTGAGGCCTTTGTCTGTCCGTCCGCGGGAAGGGCCCGGGGGTGGCATCCGGGGTGGGGTCGGCGCGTGCGGGGTGGGGGAGGGAGGCGGCGGCGCAGGCCGGCCGGGCCCGGGCCCGGGCCCCGGGGGGCGCAGCACGGACACGAGCGGCTGCGGGCTGCGGGCTGCGGGCTCACCTCACCCGGAACTGCTCCTTCCACACCTTCCCGCTGCTCTGGCAGAGTTCGCGCAGCCGCCGGCAGGTGCTGGAGACGCGGCTGACGTCCGTGGCCGTGAGCGAGCCGCAGCACAGGATGTATTCCAGCACCTCGCCGGGCAGGTTGACGAGGCAGCTGAGGCCCGCCGCCTCGGGCGCGGCCTCCTCCGGCAGCGCCGCCTGCACCACCTCCATCGGGCTGTCGACCGCCGCCGCCATCTTGTCCGAGTACCTGGGGCCGCGGCACGCTCGCGCGTGCGCGCTGGGGAAACCCCACTCTGCCCCGCCCACCGGCCTGCCTCAAGGGGCGGGGCAAAGTCTAGCCACGCCCCCCACCCGTAGCCACGCCCCCTGTGCCCGTGCTTCTGCGGAGTGAGTGCTGCGGCCCCTCAAAGGGGAGAGAAACGCAGTTTTTTTGTTTGTCTGTTGTTGTTGTTGTTGTTGTTGTTGTTTTTTAAATAACTGGGCTGTGGGCCTTGGAGCCCTGAACCAACGAATAACCATGCCTGTCTTTCTCATACGTGCGTCCTCGAATGTTTCTTATGGATTATTTTCCCCGAGTTCCAGCTGGGGAAACAGGTTTAGGGAGGTAAGAGTCCCTTGTCCTACCTAGATTCTAATCCAGAGCTGCTTGACTGCTGCTTGACCGCCCTTAAATGAGGATGCTGCAATCATCACACACTTGATATTCCTGCGTGGACCCTGTGCCAGGCCCTTTACTTACGGCTTTCTCACCCATGAAACGAGGCTAACAGTAAATCTCCCTGGGATGAGGACGATTATGATACCTTAATCAATGAAAAATAAAAAAATTAAACAATAAATCTTCCTATTAAATTAAATAGTATAGATAATACTATTGCTGCATTATTTGCAACCACCACACACAACTGTGCTAACCTCCATCAGGTCCCGCAGGCCCTGGCAGAGGGCTGGGATTTTATCTTACTGTGCTCAGAGGCATTCTCCAAGTTCAAATGCCCAACAGAGGTCAAGTTCTCTGTGCTTCAGTTCGGGGAACAGAGGAGCACTTTTCATTTCTAAAAGATCACTCCTAATATTTCTCAGATCTGGCTCCTTCTCTCTATCTCCTCGGCCACGGTCCCAGTCCACGCTGCCCTGTGGCTCCTAACTGTTCTCCTGGCTTCTGCCCTGGCCCTCAGAATGTGACAGTCAGCTCCTGTGACACTCAGACCTCGGTAGTTTCCAACTTGTTAGGCGGAAGGCAGACTCCACAGCCGCACAGGTGATTGGTGCCGTTCTTATGAATGACGATGGCTTTCTTATCAATGCCATTCCAGCCCTTCTTCTGTTCTCTCTCCTGATCTAAGATGATTAAGATGTTGTGTGTGTGTGTGTCTGTCTGTGTGTGTGTGGGGGGGGGGGAGGATTAAAAGCTCCTGCCAATCAGTAAGTCCTCACCACAACCCTACCAGAGAAGAGCAGTTTTGTTATGAACAAGCATATGAACACCTGTGATGTACATCACAGGTGACCTGCTAACGAGACTACAGAGGCAGAGAAAATCCTGCCCTTTTTAAACACAGCCAAGCATTGCATACGAGCTCTTGAGATTCATGATAACTTGCCTAGCTCAGCCGGTGCTGACTTGGTAGTTGGGATACCCACTGTGCTATCTGACTGCTTTTCTCTCCTTTTTATGACAAGCAGGTGGTTACAGTTTGGAACAGGACATTCGGGCTGCACTATCACATACAGGGACATAGAGACACTACCTGCCTACAAATCTCATTTCAAGGAGCTGGTTCCCAGGACCTTAAAAATAAATAAATAAAAATTCTTGCCCGGCCTGCATGGCTCAGTGGTTGAGTGTCAACCTGTGAACCAGGAAGTCGAGGCTCGATTCACAGTTGGGACGCATGCCCGAGTTGCAGGCTTGATCCCCAGGGTGTGAGGTGTGAGGAGGCAGCCAATCAATGATTCTCTCTCATCATTGATGTTCCTCTCTCTCTCTCTCTCTCTCTCTCTCTCTCTCTCTCTCTCTCTCTCTCTCTCTTCCTCTTTGAGATCAATACAAATACACTTTAAAAAGAAATGTCCTGGGTTGTCATACTGGCAAGAGGCTTATTTACTTATTTAAGATTTGTAAACTGGAGTATATTCACACAATGGAATATTATTCAGCCATAAAAAGGAATGGAGCACTGATATAGGCTACAGTGTGGCTGAACCTTGAAGACATGATGCTGAGTGAAAGAAGCCAAACAGGAAAGGACAAAGATTGCATGATTCCATTTTCATGAAATATTATGGAATATCTAGAATAGGCAAATAGAGACAGAGTGTGGATTCCAGGTTGTCAGAGGTTGGGGGAGGAAAGAATGGGGAGCTACTGCTTAATGGGGACACAGTTTCAAGTCTCCCCAGAGCCACCTTATTGATGAGGTCATCCCAACTGCCCTATTTACGTCACAACATTAGGAAGGTGAAGAAGGTCTGGAGAGAGATTGTTAGTCAACGCTGTGAATGTCCTTAATTCCGTTCAATTGCATTCTTTTGTGGTTAATCCTCAATCGGGAATATTTTTCCATTGCTTTTTAGAGAGAGTGGAAGGGATGGGAGACAGAGAGAGAGAGAGAGAGAGGGAGAGAGAGAGAGAACATCGATTGGTCACCTCCTGCATGAATCCCGACCAGGGCCTGGGATCCAGCCTGCAACCAAGGCACCTGCCCCCAATTGGAATCGAACCCGGGACCTTTCAGTCTGCAGGCCTGAGCCAAACCGGCAAGGGCTTCAGCTGTATTCCTAAAAATAGTCAAGTAGTAAGTTTTCTGTTATATCTATTTTACCAACATTTAAAATAACAGCGCACACAAAATGGGTTTACACACCCGCCAAAGGCAGGACTGACTCTCACTCACACAATTCTCCGGGAGATGCTCGAAGAATGCGAGGAGGGACGACTGTCTTTCCCCTGTGGCCACAGGAAAATTCTGTTTTGAAATTGACCCTCCCAGGACCCCTTCCTTTCATCCACATTCCCAAGTTGCTGTCATATGCGTGCACCGGACCCCTGCATTCACCCACCAGCACGGGCAGGTCTAGGTTTTGTGGGCCGAAGTCAACAGGAGAGGGTCTGTGCAGGATGGGGACAGAAGGCGCGTTGGGTGGGGTCTTGCAAGAGAGGGGCCTGAAGTTCAGCTTCCTTAGCTCCAGGGCACATGGGTCTCTTTCTATGAAATGGTCACCTCCATGAAAGCAGGGCCTCTACCCAATTTTGCTCAAATATGGTATGTATTGCATGTCCTGGCTAGGTGAGAGGGTCTGTGCTATGGAGACAGTCTGCAGACCGACTAACCATTCCCCCTCTCCCCCACCCAACACCTGAGGGACAGGGCTTGCTCCCACCTTCCTCAAGTCTCCCCAGAGCCACCTTATTGATGAGGTCATCCCGACTGCCCTATTTACGTCACTCTAACCTGCTTTGTTTTTCTCCAAAAATACTCACCACCATCTAACATCCTCCTTAAAAAAGCAAGATCTAGCTGATGGTTTCTCTTCTTCTGGGAGAATTCGAAGGGAGAATTCGAAGGAATCCTGGCGGATACCCAGTGCCCACAAAAGGGCCTCGTAACATCTCTATTGAATGTGGGAATGAATCCTCTAAATGCAGATCAATGGAGCCAAATGTGCCTTGCATGTGCGTTGCTGACAAGAATCTCTGAGGGCCAGAGGGCGGACAAAGATTGCCTGAATAATGGCTCCCAAACACATTCATTTTCTAATCCCTAAAACCTGTGAATACACCGGGGTGGGCCAAAGTAGGTTTACAGTGTGAGTACTCGAAACAGAAGACTTTATTCTTCCATTATTACTAGAGGCTTGGTGCACGAAATTCGTGCACATGGGGCGTGGGGTCCTTCAGCCCAGCCTGTGCCCTCTTGCAGTCCAGGAACCCTCAGGGGATGTCCGACTGCTGGCTTAGTCCCACTGCCCTAAGCCAGCAGTTGGACATCCTTAGCTCCTGCCACCGCCACTGCATTCACCAGCCGTGAGCCAGCTCAGGGCTTCTGGCTGAGCAGCACTCCCCCTGTGGGAGTGCACTTACAAGCCTGCCCTCTGGGGGTCAGTGTGTGTCATAGCAACCAGTCATTATGCTGTTCAGTCAATTTGCATATTAGCCTTTTATTATATAGGATTGTTTATTAATGATTGTATTATTTGTATTACAGCTTAAACCTATTTTTTTAAAAATGTTTTTTTTATTGATTTCAGAGGGAGGAAGGGAAAGGGAGAAATGGAAACATCAATGATGAGAGAGTCATCGATCAGCCGCCTCCTGCCTGGGTCCCCACTGGAAATTAAGTTGGCAATGTGGGTATGTGCCCTGACCAGATTGCACCATGACCTTCTGGTTCATAGGTCAATGCTACACTAACTGAGCAAATGCACTTTTGCCTGGTGTTACTATTATGTGTTTTTTTTTTTTTTTTTTTTTTGATGCCATCAAGCAATTCTTCGACACTGCTTAGGTGTCCTGAAATTCAACTCCATTCTGAAACGGTCCACCTGACACTATGACCCAGAGACAGGCCCCAGAGGTTAAGGGATCAGTCCTACAGGACTGCCCACCCCTTCAGTAGCCAGTAGCAAGTCCACGTTGTCCCCTGAGCTTCTGACAAACCAGCTATGGGTTGCAGGTGCCCACAGTCTCCTCCTCCTGTTCGGCTAATTTGTGGGAGGCCTCACAGAATGCAGAGAAACATCTGACTTACCAGATTATGGGTTTATAATAAGGGGAAGAGCCGGATGGAAGAGATGCACAGAGGGGGGTGGGGGAGGTGGGGCCGGGGAACAGGCCCAAAGCCTCCACGCCCTCTCCAGGGCCCTACTCTCTCAGTCCCTCCCCACCATCACCACCCCTGCCTCTCTCTGAACCCTCTTCCTTCTTTTATGTAGGCTTCGTTATAAAGGCATGATTGACGAATCACCAGCCATTGGGGATTCACCCTCCAGCCCCTCTGTCTGCCCCAAGGTCAAGGGGCAGGACTGAAGATTTCAACCCTCTAATCACCTGGTCGGTTCCCTGGCAACTAGCCCCCCCTGGCCAGGTGCTTCCCATAAGTCACTCATCAAAATAAACGCAGGAGGTTGGAAGGGTTTGCTAAGAACGATAAGGCACCTTCATTGCTCTGGTCACTCACGGAATTCCAGGGTTTTAGGAGCTCTTTACCAGAGAAGAGGGTGGGGAAGGAAGG